ATATACCTATTTTATAACATAAATTTTATAAATTTTATACAATAAATGTAGAGCGGCAACGAGATTATTCGGTAGGGTCAGGTAGAGACGAACGCATTTTTCAAGCGTCCGTCCACCTGTACACAAATCATTTTGCTGTATTATAAAACATTTAAGACATTTTCGAAAATAACCGAAATGTTTTTATAATGCGCTGCAATAATCACCGTTTACGGAATTTAGGTATACACGTTTTGCGGGCTCTAAAAATAATAGTTTCACTCGCCGAACCGAATTAAATACGATCTTGAAAACGGGCATAAATTAGATCACGACAAATATGCTTGTAGCGGTACAATATGGAGTAGTTTACCATATTATAAAATATCCGCATAATATCAGAACTTCAAAAAGCTATAATTTCGAAACTTAGTCAGTCCGCTCGATTCTGACTTTTCCATCGTTTTTATATTGGCATTATACATATATTCAAAAAAAAAAAAAAAAAATTAAGAATTAGATTTGTTCCACATAATTTTTACTCAATGATTTTCGTCAAAATTTGTTATTAAAGTTCCTTTATAAAAAAAATACTACATTAAATTCAAATATTTTTTTGACCACAATGTAAAACTCTTAATGAACCCCCTATTAAATTTTCAAATATTTCTGTTAAGTCTTACAATTTTACTACAGCGTACCAACCGAATAAAAATTACGTACAAAACTGGCAAAATTAAAATGTCTATAAATAGCTCAAAATTGGCTTAAATTTTTTGATAGTTTTACCACGTCTAGAAAAGGCAAATATAAACTTTCTGTCCAAATTTCAAGTTTCTACGAATATTTTTAACCAAATTACAACAAATAACAAAGTTGAAAAATAATAAAAGCATTATTTTCGCATATTTCCTGTTTTTCTTAGAATTTAAACTGGTTTTTCCCAGATATTATGAAAACCGCTTTGAAAATCAAAAAAATTGTCTCGCAAAAGTACTATCTAGACCACATTCTCTTTTAGAAATGGTGTCGCGCGTGTATATCTGAACAAGATTTCCGGTAGAATTTGTGTATACAGGATAAAAATAAAAAAAATAAATATCTTAGTAAAACCAGTGCATTCTTCGTTACACTCAGAATCTAAAAGAAAAATAAAACGCCGTGAGTGAACTGCTGAAGAAATGCGGAAGACATTTTAACATCAAGTATTTTACAAACCCAAAGGGTTTTCGAGAAAAACTCTCGTGTTTTCTTCGCTATATTCAGAATTTAAAATATATAAACGTTAGAACACAAAAGCTTTTACGAAAAATTCCAGAGAGACACAGCGGACCTTTGATGTTTTTGTTTTGAACCCCCATAAAATTCATATTTTTCAAAGTTTAACGGAATGCTAATAAAACCGTGTAGGTTAAATTTTACGAGAACAACAAGGATCGGTATGAGAGTAAAGAATTTATCGATTTACGGATTAAAATATTGAAGAACAGTTTACAGCATACAAAATTATTTGAATCTGCAGATGGGCAGGCATACTAGATGATAAGGACCCGAATTCGACTAAACGCTCGTAATGATCCACCTTGAAAGGCACTATGATATAGTGTCATGGTCAACCGTCATGGCGTCAATAGCGACTACCTCGAGCGGGATACGGGCAGTGGCGTAAATACTGGGTGGGCGAGGTGGACAAACGCCACGGGCCCACAACTGAAGAGTGCCCTAACATTGGCCTAGACCAAGATCCGAGGCATTATTGGACAGGTGAGGGTTTTTTTTTTTTTTGAAATTCCTTTTCGGTCTTCAGGACTTTAATACAATATTTATGCCACGGGCATTAGAAGTCCCAGTTACGTCACTGGATACGGGAACTATCATCGCGTGGACACTAGGCTTGAAAGAACGCGATTTGCGCATTTTCAACCCCGGTCCAATTGACGGGTCACACAGCAAAATATTTCGTTTGCTTAAAATATATTGAAACGTGTCGTCGAAATCGGAGTGTGAGCATCGAGTAACGAAATTTAAAACGGAGAAAATTATCTAACCTAGTTCGGACGTATCTCCCGTGAAAATCGCCATACGAATAAAATAACGGCTATTTCAGATAAAAAAAAAATAAAATAAAATAAAATAACGGTTATCGTTTTTTTCGTGCGGCAATCGTGTTAAGTAAAACTCCGCGAAAACCCTCGGAAACAATATTCTCCACTCGTCGTTCGCGTGCGAATTTTAATCTCGACCCGAACGCGCCGCGGTTTCCGTTCCGCACGCGATTGGCGCGCGTGTAGCGAGTAACGTAATTTCGCCCGCCGTCACCCGTTAGCGTTTTGTTGACGGAGACGGCGGCGTGTGGGTATCGCGTCCTCGCGCAATAATATCGTAAGTGATCCGACGTCGCGAAATTGAAAACGTAACAAATATAGTCGTGAGGGGGGGGGAGGGGGCGGGGGGGAGAGACGCAGGGGCGGGGGAAAAAAACGTCCGAATAAACATGAACACCGGGAACGCGTGATGATAATACGATAACGCGACGCGGGCGGTTTCGCGAACGATTCCCCCGTCGACACCTGTGACACGGTGTAATATCGTCGCGAGTGCGGCCTCAGGTATACGTGTCGCGGCACAGGCGGGGCCGGGTTTATGGTATTGTCACGCGTAACAACGCCGCCGCGCCCGGGCGTCTGAATGACGTGCCGGCGGGCCGGCGCGGCCGCGGCGGCGCGCTCGCACCTAATATTTTCCGTCGTCCCCGCGTCGTGTTCTTATCGCATTATTATAAGTCGGCGCACCTGGCGTAACGCTTTTGATAAATATCAGCCGTCGCCGTTGTACGGCAATATGTGCGCGCGAACCCCGAAAAACGTATATTGGTATTTATTGCGTACGCACGGCCCCGCCGGGGGTAAAAAAGAAAAAACTTGTGTGTGTGTGTGTACAGGGTGTCCTACGGGCTGATCGGACTCCGTCGGCGTTCGTTTATTTGTTATTGTTTTTATTTCCCTTCCCCCCCCTCCCTCCCGATCGGGTTTCGTACGAGGGGCGCGCGCGCGCGCGCAAAACGAAATTTTCATTTTCGTCCCTCAATCGTCGGGGGAAAAAAAACGTATCGGTTTTGATCGCTTTTCCGAAAAAACCCGTCGAAATAGCCAAATATCATTCTGAACGTTTTAGTAGCCTATCGCGCCATTCGTATCCGATTAATCGTTTCTGAGGCACACCGGCTTTGATTGTGTGTAGAAGCCGGGCGTGAAAACCATGCCCGATTGTTATTCCTCATACGCGTTACGCGTTATTCGCTATTCGAAAATCAAATTGTTTTCACGCCCAATTTCTAAAACGCCGTAGACACCCTGTATGTAAAAAATGAAAAAATATCTAATAACTATAATGCGGCGGCGTTGCATATTGTATTATTATGTTATAAACGATGTGTGTATGTCTGCACATAAAGTGTGTAGCATAAAACCGGGAGAGTAACTCCCGCGTGCCGTTGAAGTTGCTGAAGTTTCGGAAATTGGTGGTGTATTTCAGGAGCCTCGAAAAATTTAATAGTTTTATATAGGTAGAATTTGTTTGGGGTTTTTTTTTTTCATTTTCTAAATAGTTTTAGATTCTGAGCGAAAACGTACTGGTTTTAAGTAGGTACGTTCATTATTAGTATCGGTTTTTTTGTTAAACAATCAAAAACTTTATAGGAACTTTCTTGTAGCACTTTGGATCTAGTCACGGTTCCTGATTAAGGAGTTAATTTCCCTCGTACGGTTTTCATAGTAAAAGGCAATTTTTCGTAGAATTTTTATTGATTTTCGGATAACCTTGGCAACATGGGAAAAACAAGAATGATTATAATGCCCTGCTCAGAATCGTTTCTCGTTAACGGTTGTTGACCGTTGCTTCCGATTTCGTCGCTATAAACGGTGGCACGTCCATCAGCAATATCGCCTTTTTTTTCTTGTTTTTTCCAGTCGTAGTATATAGTATATGTACAGTTAATAGGAGACTATACTATATTAAGTTTCGCACCACGCGTGAGCCGCTGTTTGAGACGACAAGTCGGGGGGGNGGGGGGGGGGGGGGGGGGGTAGGCGATATTTACGGTGTTTTCGTTACTACATTATGCTGTGCAAAACGATAATAATTCGATCAGTCGTCGCAAATGAAAAACGATTGTGATGACCCGATGTGTGAAATGTCGATAAACGTTAAACACAACGTGTACAGCGGACCGGGAAATCCGCATGTTTTCGCGAGGGTACGAAAAATCCGAACATTCCTGAAAGAAAAAAAAAAACGTCGGCCGGACAGGAGAAAAAAAAACGCGTATCCTTTGAAAACAACACAATACGGCTTTTGCCGCGTCGGCGAATAAAAGCGAAAAACATCACCGCGGCCGATGCGAAAACGCGCGGTGCGCGGGGGATTCGATCGGAAATATAAGAAGCCGTGCGCGTGCCGGCCGTAATGAACGGCGATATTCGTAATTAAAAAAAAAGAAAAAAAAAAGCGCGCGCGTGTGTGTGCGTGTGCGCGCGCGTGTGTGTGTACACCGTACATGTGCGTATGGACCGCACGCGAAATTTTTATCACGCGGGTGGTCGCGGGGGTTTTTCACCGAGGGGGCGGCGGCGGCCGCGGCGGCGACGGCGGCGGCGAGTAGGCGGAAACGGCGAGTATAAAAGTCGGATGTTCCGCGGTTGTCGGCCATCTCACTTTCGACTCGACTTCCTCGCGGTCGCACGGCACCATCACCGGACATCCCGCAACGATCCGCGAACAGTCGTTCTGTTTCCACGAGCACTCCGCACCCGGCGCCTTTTTACCGTTCCCCCGGCCCATCCGCGCTCCACCGTTGTTTTCGGCGCCCCGAATTCGCGAGACTTTATCGCCGAGCCGCGAACTATCCGCACCGTCCACGCGCCGTCTATCCGTCCGTCCGCGTTCCACGCAGCCAGGCGCATACGATCGCGTGTGCATTTCCCTACGCGCCCATCGCCTTCAACGACCGCACATCAGACGACATGCGTACCCTGTTGCTTTTGGCCGTGTTCCTGTTGTGCGCTTGCATCGCCGCCGGCCAGGTGAACTTCACGCCGACATGGGGCCAGGGAAAGAGGAACGCGCCATCCGCCGCCTCCGTTCAGGCCGCGGACGAGTGCAAATCGATGGACACGCTCATCTACATCTACAAACTGGTCCAGGTGAGAATTTAAAAAAAAAAATATTTCGAAATTCCTAATTCGTTCGTATTGTTCGCGTTCGTTTTCGTTAGGAATTATTATGATAATGGTCGGAACGGGTTCGAAACGGGCGGATTAAAAATAAATATTAATAATAAGTATTCAAGAAAAAAAAAAAGAAAAATATTTTTATACGATTTCGTTCTCCGTTATTTGCTTTGTGTCGATGAATTTCTTTTCGGTATTATAAGAGGCGAATATCGTTTTCGACGAAACAAGTGGCGGGATGGAAAATTTAGATTGTAAAAATCGGAAGTACTGGATTTACCCCGATTTCAACCACTGGACGATAATCGTATGCGTTTTAACCGACATAACAGATTATACAATATCAAAAATATTGTACACCTATTCGTACACCAGAGACGGTCGTCTCTGATTTTTTTTTTATCGTTCGAAAAAAAAAGAAAAAAGAAACGTCGTTTGTTTTAATGCGGGGTGCCAGACCGATGGTATATAGCTGATATACCGACGAAGAACCCAATATGTCGGGTAAATTTAAAGGGGACCGTGAAAATAGGTTCACGAATCATAAAAAACGCCGAACGCTTTATTACGGGCGCATTGTGTGTACCGACTAGTTTTTTTCGACGTTTGAACGGTTCCGGCAGAAGTAACCGCCGGTCGTTAGTACGCGGCAGGTGTCTGAGATATTTTTCGCGAGCGCGTATTGTTTCAATGTCCGTCTCGTGTGACTTGTTACGAATTCATTGTGGCATTTTTTCGAAAAAAAAAAAAACAAAAAACAACCTTATAATCAATAATCGTATGCAATTTTTGTTTTAATGTCTGTCTAAAAATTACGACAATTCAAATTTATGTATCACCGAACTGCCATCGGAATCGTTTTTCGTCAATCAATGGTTTATCGTTGCTTATTGATATAAATGAAATAACCTTATGTATCCTATCTTCCCAACTTCTCATCTACAACAGTGGCCGCTCCTATTCCCAGTATCAGCTTTTTTTTTTTTTATAAAACTCGTTGTTGCTTCCGCCTTTGTTTTATATTTCTGAACCGGGCCATTCAAACATGTCGATACGCAAACGGACAGTTATCGAATGTTAACAACGGACGTTTGTAAACGAAACGAAAAACTCGTTTTCCAGCGCCAATGATTATAGTCTCGGATAAATATTTCGCTTTAATTATGAACGAATCTCACGGCGAACAATAATAATATGATAAAATGTACATTTATTTATTTTTAACGATTCAATTTCGGAACGCAGAAATTATATAGGCAATGATTGGAAACCGGGAGAAAATCACGATATAAAAACGCATTTTACTTTTTCGCTCTTTGTACGTGTGTAGAATGTAAAAAAAGGGCTCTGGATTTGTTTCATTTTGGGTTTGATCGGTACGTCGAGGGAATCAGTTTTTTATCGATCTCGTAGTTCACTTTGTTATAACTGGGGGGGGCGAGAAAATGTACACGGGGGGGGGCGAGAAAATGTACACGAAAATGGTTTCTGTTTTTTATATACGTTATGTTTGATTTTTTTATATACGTTATGTTTGATCGATATATTATGTATCAGTCACCTTATTTTTTTTTTTTTTTTATTTACAGAATGAAGCCCAGCGGATCGCAATGTGCGAACGAATGTCCACGTCTTGAACGGTCGCTGTCGCGGGGCAGAGCTGCAGGACACGATAACAACACTACCACTATTTACCAGCCATCGGATGGTCGTTCATACAAGGACTACTACGCTCCACCTGCAGTGTTTTTTTTCAATTTCAATTATAAATCTATCAATAGTCGAACAATAATCGTTTATGTACAACTAAACCATAATTTTTATCTATTTAACTCTATACCACTATTTGCCATAAAACTATAATTACCTACAACGTTTATAGACGCATATATTATGATGAACATTGTTACCCGTATCACTTTCGATCCGTTTTAGACGATACCCACATACCTATGTGTTAGTTTTTCTTGTTAACAAATAAAACGCATTTGCTTCATATATATGTATGTGATAACCGCCGTATCGATATATTGTACTTTAGTAGTATAATATATTGTAATATCCTAAAGTGAAGTATCCGAGAAAAGAACATAGGTACAAAATCAGTACATTTTTCTGGTTTTTTTTTGTTTTTTAGCGAATTATTATATTGGTCTCGGCGAGTATAGGTACCATCAGACGGTACCTATGACGATGATGGTTAATTTCATGGGAGGAGGGGGGGGGAATTGTCCGATGAAAATCTAAGTCGATAATTTCGTATACTGCCGGAAAAAAAAAATAGCAATAGTAAAATTGAAAAATCAATTTTCTCAAAATGTACAATTCACGACTATATTTGTTCTTTTCCCGGACCCTTCAATTATACATCTCTTCCTGCACACGTCGGGTTAATTACGAACAACCATAATTTAACAAGAAAGTATACTTTAAGTAAGTATTTAACTTTGGGTCGCGAAATGTCGTACTGTAGTTACTTACTGATGTTCAGTGGCCTATTTATAGGGGGGGAGGAGTCCCGGGTCTTGGCTTCTCTCCATAAGAAAAAAATTGGTTCAATAGTTATAAATGGCATGCTACGAAGGTATAAAGAAAGAGAACATTAATTTATACAGATCATTTTTTATCATAAACCAGTAATTCCAGTATCACGGAAGAATTTAAGTGAATTTGATTTCTATTTTTTTTAACTCCTGTTTAGTTGGGAAGAGCTATCAATTATCTTTTAAAAGTAGATATACAATTTATGGAGTAGAGGTAAAAATTAAAAATGGTTTTGAAATAAGGTTTAAACAATTGTACAAAGATTAAAAAAATATAAATTAAATTCACTTAAAATTGTCCGAGATAATTACTTTTTTTGAAGAATTTTAAACCTCCTCCCCCCACAAAAAAAAAATGAGCTTTTGTGCTTGTGGTAAAAAATAAATATTTAGCATAAATAAAGTATGTCTAACTAGACAAATAAAAGAGAACTACAGATTGATATGATACAGGCATGTTGAAAAATTGATAGAAACGATCACGAGACGGTAAAACGCGATTATTACAAATTTTTTCCCGGAATCGTTTCTAGGATTCCGGACGAAAATAAAACGCCATAAATTATAATAATACGGTGTTTACAACGATGACGTACAGTGAAAAAACAACTGTTGTTTTTCACCGAAAACTGCAGCTTTACGGAGCTGTAAACACCTTTGAAGAATTCCATACTTCCGCTGAAGGTCATAATATTGAATATACAGGTGTAGTAATGACGTCATACGGTTCTCTAAAATAGCGTGAGTTGTCAACATTTTCATTATGATGCTGGAAAAAGATTTTGGGTAACACGTTGTAGGTTACCTATCACATAACGCGTATACTAAACAAAATAACATTAAATTATGAACAATAATTATAATGTTATGTGAAATTGATCTGGGCACGACAACACTCCGTTCATTTCCCTCGAACTGCAGTTGACTGAGTTAATTCCGAAATCGATTTCACTGTCACCCGGCAACACGTATATTATCAAAATCAAAATGTTTAATAACGATCTCGTATAGCTTACGCGTAATAATTAGACGAATTCGACTTAAAGCTCTATAATATTAGGTACATGTTCGTTTTGGACTCGAAGCGTTTAAAAAACACGAGGATTGCCCGATACACTGTTGGCCGCAATCAAATGAACACACAACAAACCTAACCGTCTAGAAACCGTCTCCGCAAAAATAAAACCGAGAATCCGACAGTCGGATGGACATTATTTTTTTTTTTTACTATTTGTGAAATTCGTTCGTGACAATTCACCGCTCATTATTTCGTTCAACTCGCGAATTTTTCATTTCGTTTCATTTCTCGCTGCAATGTTAGGCACTGGACGTCTCTGTAATAATACCGAAGTTGTTGCTAGCCAAAATCGCGATAACCGTGACGCACATGTTCACGGAAGTTTTTGGTACCGGTGCGCGAAAACACCGCCATCTCGGTACGGCGCACACGATCGTCATAATGTGATGTGGGCGCGTGTTCATATTAACCGAGAAATCGTTTACCGCAAAACATTTAATTTCGTTTCCGTCTTTTTGAAACGAAAATTGATAATTCGTGTCGACGACATCGGCCGAATTGACACGCCGCTATACGCCGACATAGCCGGATTCAGTGTTTCGCGGACAAATCAATAATCGGACGGGCGAAGTTAAAATGTATAAAATCCGCATACTCGTTAATGTAACTTGTGTGACCACATGATGCGATTACCGTGTGAAACTGCCAACCGATTATATATGAATAAATAAAAACCCAATAAAAAAATATTCAATCCTACTTTGCAATACCTACTTTACCGTAATATACTTATTCTGAGATTTATAAATGTATCCCGTCGGGGAAAGTGGGGGAAGGTAAAAATCAAAAATCGCCACTCATACGTTTTACTAATTAATGTCATAATAATTATCAATAAACGCGTGTGTGCTATTTAAAAAAATTAAATCGAAAATAGAAATAGACCGGCACCAACCGTGGAACGGATGATAAACGACCTGCATGCAATCATTATACATTTTTACATAGCGTAGCGAGGAATCTATTGATATGAATTGTACTATTTTTTTTTCTCGTGTCAATTTACTGATATGGGCATAGCAAAATGGGAAAAGGTGAAAATAATTAAAAAATTGACACGGTCAACGCCGGGCGCGGGACAGCTAGTATATAGTGTTGTCTAAATTAAATTTTATCGAAACACGATTAACCGAACTTCGCTCAGAATCGTTTTTCGTTAAAATGGCAACGGGTACTGTGATCTCGTTTTCATTTAACTATTGCCGAAATCGTTGTAATTTACGTTCTGCGTTACACGATTTGTTTTCTAGTAATCCAGTCCACATTTCTACTCCTAAACGGCCACCTGTATGAACCGGCACCGGTCACGTGTTTCGAGAAGGGAGAGTTTTGTGGGAATACTACGACGACAATACGACACCCTCCATTCGTCTTGTCGTAATTTTGTAGTTTTTTCGTTGTTACTCCGAGTTACACGCGAGGGTACATAATAATTAAATTAGACCCGTGTTAAGTACGTATTATGCCTACGTGAATCGCGGTTACCCGATCCCAAAAACGTCGTCGCCGCCTCCCGATTCACCGGCAATTTTCAAATACTTTTAATGTAAAAATCCATAACGATTATTTTCCGGAACGAAATTTGAACGAAATGAAATTAATCGCAAACCACGTGTCTATTCAGCTTAACGCACTACACTGCGGTGGAAATTTCACGCAAATAATATTAATTACAATAATCTATATCAACGAAATAAAATTCCAATTACATTTTTTATGCGTGTTTTATTATAATCCATATTTATGGCTTTAATATATTATAATAATAATTTACAAAAATTTAAATAGGTAAATCAAAAAAAAAAAAAAAAAATATCCAAACTAAAATATATAATATACAAAGATACAAACTAAAACTAATAATAAAAAAAAAAATCAAACTTTCGTAACCTAATTATACATTTCTTATTAACGTATTAATTTACTATTTTTTTTTTTTTTATTATTATTATATTTTAAAAGTTCTTAAAACCCGAACTGAAAACTATGTTAAAGATGTTTAAAAAAAAAAAAAAATCAATATTTTTCACATAATTATCCACCGACATTAAAATATTCGACGGCAAATTTGACGTGCGTAGGACGTGGTTACATTTTTTTTTATGTAAAATAAGTTATTTTCCCGACAGTTTTTTTGAATCGGTTTTAACACGCGCGTCTTGGAGTATTTCGGGGCAATCAATCGTATTATTATTTGTTGGTTTGCACAAAAATTGTTAGTTTTATTTGAAGAAAACGATTTTCGCGCGTCAAGATATCGAACATGTTTGACTATTGTTCGTACGTGGACGTTCTAAAGACAAAGCGTTGAAAATATTGTAGCGCGCGATTGCGTAGGAGGATCGGGAATGTTATTTTTTTTTTTCTGTGGAAAAACGCATAAACGAACGTGAGAACAAAACCGGTAAATAGCGACCGTCGACGGGAAAACGTTTTCGCTCGCGGACAACAGAACAGTTCGCCGTTTACGCAACGGGCCCGCCGGAGACTTTCCGCTTTCGACTTTCGCGTGTCGCGCGTCGTGTGTTCGAATCGCCTTGTGGATTAAACGGCGACATTATTGTCTTAGCGCCGCGAACGACGCCGCGACGGAATATTATCACAACATAATACCCGGGTGCGGCTGTGTCGTCGGCTATCTGTAAACACGGTAGCCGGGACTTGTCGTGTAATACCCGAGACTGCGTGTACGGTTCTTGTAAGTCTGTAGACGCTTATGTTTACCGCGGCGGAAATTCACCGATACCCCGCGGAAATTGAATACGCCTATAATGCGTATACAGAGTCTACCGGATTTCGCGTTGCGGTCGGATTTTCCGTGAAAAACTATTATTTTTTTTTTCTTTCGAAAAACGACTTAAAAAAAAAAAAAAAAATCTTTTCGGAACCGTATATTCTAAAATTTTGTATCGGCCTTATTTTCGGGGTTGCAAAGTTTATTTTGTAATTCGAAAATTCCCAATACAGACGGAGTATTAGTTCAAATACATTTTTACGGTGCAAATTTCCGTCGACC